ATATATATATATATAAATCTAGAGAGATGCACGTGTCACTTTATATAGCTTTAAAGTACAATGATATATGTTTCATTGTATCATATATATTATATTTGCAGGAATTGTGTTTAGAAATATTTTAACTGAAATCTTGCTTTTAAGTATATTTAGAAAACGTGTTTCATTACTTTATAATATTTTTTTAATTTTTTAATTTATAATAGTTTAATAAAATAATTAAAAAAGAAATTATTTAAATAATTTTTTTACACTTGATATTAAACTTCTTTTGTACATACAAACAAAAAATAGATACGTTAATTCAACATTTTAACTGTATTTTTTTTATTGAATTTATGTCCATATTTGTATGTATGAGATAATATTTTATAAATTCTAAAATTAGCTGGCATGGTATGAATCGTATGATTTTCCTGTAATACCACATTTCTATGAATTAGTTAAACCATTTTGGTTCACCCCTTTATTTCTTCATTTATCAAATAGATTTTATTAATAGTTTTAATATGGATGAAAGGCATTTGTTATCTTTAAATAAATTACTATTTGAATAAAATTAACAAATAGTAATGAATAAGATGGGGGATAAAAATATCTCAGTTCCACACGGTGAGCATTTTTGTCCTTTTGCTTATAGAAGGCGCGTGGGGGAAGGGATTTTTCTGTACAATTGAAGAATGAGCAGGGGGGTTAGGTGTCATCTCCACATGCCACGTCATTAATTCAAAACGCATAGGGATAGGCGTCATTAATTCTAAGAGCATCTCCAGTGTCCAACCACTTTAAATGGTTTCACTGTGTCACGTCACTCATAAACAACTCATAAACAACTCATACTATATTTTTACAACTTTTGCTGTTTTTCTAGCCAACATCGCACAAACATAACCACTACTTGTTAAGTCTCAATTATACATCTTTTTGAATGAGAATTATTGTACAACTCTACTCATTCTTAGCACCATTGCAATATAATTGTTCCCTTTTTGACTCATCTTTTGTGCAGATATAGCTAACCCATTTTAGCTAACAATACCTTAATACACCTCATTTTTTGTGCAGGTATTGAGCTAGAGATTTGAGGATTGAAGATCTTTTGGATTGGAAACATAAGGAGCCAAGGAGCAGAGCAGAGTGGCTGCGCCGGGCGCAAGATGACGCCGCGCCGGGCTTGAGAAGAACAGAGCAGTGGGCTTCTGGAAGTCATACATGCGCCGGGCGCGAGACTCCACCACGCCGGGCGTGATCGAGGCAGAGAGTACCTCAATACTCTCTGGAACGAATTGCGCCGGGCCTAATAGAGAATTGCGCCGGGCTTGATCTAAGGCAGAGAATGCTTGAAAGCCTCTGGAAGACACTGCGCCGGGCGTAAAAGTAATTGCGCCGGGCTTATAACGAGGCAGAAAGTGCTCAGAAGACTCTGAGCCGGGCGCGAAGACTTATGCGCCGGGCGCGAAACCCTAATCTGACCTCCCAGGCTCGTATTTGAAGCCATTTTCGAGGGTTTCTCCCTCATTCACACATTGGACGAGTTTTAGGAGCTGTGGAAGGGATTCCCGGAGCTTGGAGCTGTTCGTGTGTGGGTCTTTCCTTCGGTTTCTTCATTTCTCCCTTCATCTCTATTTTGTTTTGCCCTCAATTTTGAGTGGTTCCACCCATTTTTTGTGGGGTTAGATGTAACCAACGAATTCTAGTGTAATCCTAACGTTTTCAATGATATATATATATATTGTTTCATTCATTGTTGTGTTTGTTTCTTTACTTAATGCTTGCTTTGGATTGATCACCCTTTGCATGATTTAAGGTTCCATTGAGTATTGGGAAATACCTTTGAAATTAGTTCTGGAACATATGCCTAGTGGAGATTGTATCTAGGGATAGAGCTTGACCCATTAGTAGTCTTAAACCCTAGCCCGTAATGCGGGTGTAGGTATTGGGTACTCAAGGGATTGATATTCAATATCCGCACCTAGGCTCTTGCTCTAAGGGATTAGGTTTGAGTAAACTATTGGGTTGACTAAGCAATGAATTTAACAAGAGATTAAGGATACATTAGTGTTACGTTCGGTGAAATCTGACCCCCACAGCCTCACAATACCATTATCCCATTTCTACTCTTTCCCATTCTAAAACTAATCTCTTTATAGTTTTAACATTCCAATAGTCATGCTCTTCATCTCACATTTACATGACAAACTATAAATTGGAATTATTTTTTAGTCACGAATAGTCAATAAATGCTTATTTTACCTTCTAATCCCTGTGGATACGATATTTTTACTACTTGAACGGCCGGTATACTTGCCGTGTTTGAGACCGTTGATAGAATTAAACTAAATTTCAATTATAACAAAAGTACTTCAACGGAAATCTCAACACTACTCTAATTCTCAACTCTAAAGCTCTAAAACTCCAATCAACCACTAAAATCCACTATCGGATTTTTATATTTTAATTTTAATAATTTTTTAAATATATTTTGTCTTTTTGTCTTAAAATTTTGAATTTCTATATTATAATTTTAATAATTTTTACTATTTATTAATTTTTTTTATATTTTTTTTAATATTTTATAATATAATTGAAATTTTATAATTTTAATCTCTATAATTTTATCTTACATTTTATTTTATAAGTATAATTTGGATTATTCATTTTATAATTAAATTAATTTTTTTTAATCTTTTATAAATTTATATAGAAAAATTGTATTGAAATCACTCGATCTTTAAGGGTACCGTAGAAACTCTCTTTTAGTAATTAGTTTTTTTTTTTAATTTATTTTGTGTATTTTTTAATTTTTTTTATTTATCTGGTCAAAAAGCCGAGAAAGCAAAGACAAGAATCATATATTGGTTTTTAGAAGGATGCTATATCGATCACGCACTGGCTAATAATGGAACACGTAGACGTTGTACTCGACAACAGCATCCCCTGTCTTGAGATCAAACGTGTGAGTCTTGGCCTCAGCATACCCACGTGCGAACCGGAAAGCCCCGCTTCCTCCAACTATTGGCATTTCTCTCACGGCGGAGAACACCGTGTTCCGCCCTAACATGCTCAGTGTGCTGCCATTATACTTTCCCTCCGTGAACGCCAAATTCATGATCACCAACAGGCCCGTTTCGTCTTGGGCAGCAGATCCGTATATTCCTTGGGCCCTTCCCACGAGCTTGGATCCTGGCTCGGGGCCCAAGGTCAATGGGTCATCGGCCATGACCAGGAGACCGAAAAGCGTGGAGGAAGTGTTTGTCATATGGGCCTCGGCCACTCTAACGGTGGTGGGCTTTGGGCCGCTAACAATGTCGTGGAAGTAGAAGTGAAGGTGGCTAAGCTTCTCCTTTTGGAGGCCCAGAGATGTTGGAGATATGGATCGGTGGAAACGAGGGGATTTTGCGGTGGCGAATGAGAAGAGGAGCGTGATAATAATTATGGTGAAAATAGTTGGGAGGCTTTTAGATTTTCCCATAGAGATGAAAAGCTGCGAGAAAAGAGTGAACTTTTTGAATTCCTCTGTAATAAGATAAGCCAAATATATACATAAATATTTCTCCTTGTATAAAGAGAAGAGTGCAAGTATTGGAGTTGGAGTGTTTGACCTGTTAGAAATTTGAATAACGTGAATGGTGAGCAACTTTCGTCAACTTGGCTCAACTATTGACGGTGACGGAGAAAAACTATTCGGACCAAGACTATTTTGTATACACGTAAACTAATTTGTTTATATAATGATAAAGCCAAATATATATAATATTTTTTATAATAGTTACATTCAATTCTTATATAAAGTTTGTTTGATAATAGAATAACAACTTCCCATAAATAGTTTTAATTATAAGCTATATTTAATATCTTTCCTAAAATTATTCTAATTACTAACTAAGTTATTTTTATCACCTAACTATACTTAGGTTATCTATCCCTCTATAAACTCATGTTTCTTGGATAGGTATCCATGAGTTTGTTTATTAAATTGATGAATTGAGCGATAGCAATTCACTTGGTTAAGATGTTAGCAACTTGAAACTAATCTGGTAAATGGATAACTTGTAGCTCATTTTTCATAATCTGGTCTCTAACAGTACAAATCCAAATCAAAGTGTTTGGTTCTTGAATGCATAACTGGATTAGTAGCTAATAAGACTGCTCCAAATAAATCTTAGGAATTGGAGTAATGACCCAAAGCTCTATTAAAATAGACTGAATCCATATAATGTCAGTTGTGACTACTACTAAACCTCTATATTTTGCTTCTGTACTGCTTCTTGAGACAACATGTTTTTTTTAGGACTAAGAGACAATGTTATTGCCTAAATAAACACAATACCTTATAGTGGACTTGCGATCATCAGGGTTAGAATCCCAATCTGACTCACAAAAAATAATCAAATTTAGATTAGAAGGCTTCTTAAATTATAAGCCAAGGTGAACAATGCCTTGTAGATATTGTAAGATTCGCTTAACTGCCTTCTAATGATGTTCTTGTGGTGCATGCATGTATTGACATACTTTGTTCACGGAGAAGGCAAGTTCTGGTCTAGTGTTAGTAGCATATTGTAGACCCCCAACTATAGATATGTAGAATGAGGGATCTAGAACAGACATTGATCCACTTGCAATTAATTTCATACCATAAACCATGGGAGTTGGCTAAGGCTTGGAATCATGCATTTTAGCTCCATGTAAAAGACCTTGAATATATTTGGCTTGTGACAACAAGAAGAGACTACCATTTGCTTTGCGGCAGACTTCAATACCCAAAAAATAGTGAAGAAGGTCAAGGTATTTAAGTTTAAATGTAGAATTAAGCTTTGAAATAAGAGATTAATTTCAGATTATGAACTGCCAATAATTAATATGTCATCCACATAGATAATGATGAGTATAGTAGAAGTAGGGGTAATCTTGAAAAACAAAGAGGTATTGTTCTTCATTGCTGAGAAGCTAAAATGAAAGAGTTGTATTTAGCTTTTGAAACCATGACCTAGGTGCTTGCTTTAGCCCATAGATAGCTTTATTCAACTTGCAAACCTTGCCTTTATGAGTTGAAGAAAGACCTGGAGGTTGTAACATGTAGACTATTTCATTGAGATCACCATTTATAAATGCATTATTTATGTCTATTTGATGTATATGTCAATTATGAGAAAGAGCAAGAGTAAAAATAACTCGAACAGTCGTTGGTTTAATAACAAGGTTGAATGTATCAGTGAAATCAAACCCTTCTCTTTGATGGAAGCCCTTGGCCACAAGGCGAGCCTTGTGCCTTTGAAAAGAGCCATCAACATTATACTTGGATTTAAACACTCATTTGCAGCCAATGGCCTAACAACCAGGTGGAAGGTTTACCAAACTCCATGTATTATTCCTAATTAATGCTGCATATTTGTCTTTCATGGCCTTGCACCATTCAGGTTTAGTTAAAGCTTTATTGACGAAATGTGGTTTAATTTGGTGATCATAATTTCTGGAAGTCATACCAACTACATAATTTTTAGGTCTAAAGATGCTTTCTTTGGCCCTAGTTGTCATAGGGTGAGTATTTGTTTGTTTATGATCAAAGGAATTTGCAATAGGAAGAGAACAAGGTTTTGTAATAGTATTGTTAGTAGCAAGAGGCATATCAGTAACATTAGTAACAAAATCACGTTGGCAATTCACATGTTGATCATTCTCGGTAAAAGGATAGAGAGAAGTGAGACTAGGAGGAGATAAGGTTGTATCAAAGATATAATTTGGCGAATGAATGAAGGGATTGGAAGACATTTTGTAAGGAAATCAGAGATAGGATATTGTGAGTCATGGACGCAAGAAGCCATGCCATCAACAATTGATCCTGTTGTTCATAGTTGAGGAAATCTTCACTCATCTCCTTATTCTCTATTGACGTGTATTTGGTTGGGACACCACATTACAAGAAAAACGCAAATTTTCGACAAACATAATCTGTCGAGAAAGGGGGCGTCGAAAAATAAATCTGTCAAAAAATTTTTGTTTAATTTTAATAAATTTATTAATGTAACACCCCTTATACTTGGCCTCTCAAGGGTTCTATTGTACAATATTTCACTTTTCAGCGTGTTTTGTCCTTACTTAAACAGTTTCTGGGAAACTACCCAGAAGGTCACCCATCCCTATATTACTCTAAGTCAAGCACGCTTAACTGTGAAGTTCTGGTAAGATAAGCTACCGAAATGCAGATACATGTTGTTAGTATAGGTAGTACAAATCAATTTATTTAAGTCATCATCAACTATACAATTTTATACTTATCCTATCTCTGGATCCCTCTCATTCTGGTGTGTTCGGACAGTTATAAAAATATAATAAAATATATAATAATTATGTTACCAATAATAATTATTATATTATATTTAATTAATCTTTATTTATATATATACTTACTTTTATAATTAAAAATATAATTATTTCTATTTAAAATTAATATTATGATACAATTTAAATTATTTATTATAAATTTAAAAGATTAA